GTGGCGTCGCGAAGACACGTGGGCAAGCACAGACACTTCCTGAAGACTGAAGACACGTCCGGCGCAGACACGTGGCGTCATGACGCCACCTGGCGTCGATCCGCGCCCCATCAGTCCAAGGCCCTTTTCTCGGAGTCCAGGATCGATAATCGGGGGCGCCACATCAGTCCAAGGTCTTTTTTCTCGGAGTTCACGATTTACAAGAGATCTGATTTGAAATTAGGGCCGCCCCATCAGTCCAAGACACCACTCTCGGAGTTCAAGATCTATAAGAGGTCGGATTTCGAAAGCAGGGGCGCCCTATTATCAGTCCAAGGTTCACGATCTATTTTTGCTCTGATTTAAGAATCAGAGGTGCCCCATCAGTCCAACGCCGTGTTCTTGGAGTTCAAATCAAAACCTATGAGAGTTCAGATTTTAAAGGCAGGGGCGCCTCATCAGTCCAGGGCCCCACCCTCGGAGTTCGCAATCTATTTTTTGCCTCCTACATGGCTGAGCGAGCGAAGTCTATGAGAGTTCTGATTTAAAAAGCAGAGGTGCCCCATCAGTCCAAGGCCATTTTCTTGGAGTTCAAGAGCTATGAGAGTTCAGATTTTAAAAGCAGGGGCGCCTCATCAGTCCAAGGCCCCACCTTCGGAGTTCAGAATCTATACGAGCTCGGATTGAAGAGTCAGGGGGCGTCCCATGAGTCCCAGGTCCTGTCCCTGGGAGTCAAGACCGACTAAAGTTCTGATTTAGTTCAACATCTGTTCTGATTTAAAAATCAGGGGTGCCCCGTCAGTCCGAGGCCCTTTTCTCGGAGTTCGAGATCTAAAAGAGTTCTGGCTTCAAAATCAGAGGCGCTCCATCAGTCCATGCTCAAGATCTATAAGAGTTCTGATTGAAATAAAATGGGCGCTCCATCAGTCCAAGGCCCTTTTGTCGGAGTTCAAGATCTATAAGAGGTTTGATCTATTCCAGCACAATTTCAACGCAGTCTCATCGCAATCGGTGCCAACAGTGGAATCGGCGCAGGACAGCGCAATCGGCACCGTCCGAGCTTCGGCGCAATCAAAGCATTCCCGTGCAACCGAAGCATTCCAATGCAATGGCCGCATTTAAGCTCAGCCCGCACGCGCTGCAATGAATCATCCAGGGAGTTT